TTCTTCAGAAAATTTTCTGAAGAAGGGTCTAGGCCCGAAACGTCAGCTTTCCTGCTCCTCTGATGCTGCTTGGCCTGCTGTGTTCATCCAGCTCTACACCTTGTTATCCCGCATTAACATTCACCACTGTTTCCTTATCTAGATCTGCAAAGTAGAAACTTGAGTTCCAGTACTACAATTAGTACCAGTAATGAAATATTTTAGCTCTGTGCAGCCCAATGTAGGGAAATATCTTGGCTCGTGACAAACAATGGCAACTTGAAATGTCACTGGAAACCAGTCACACTGTTCATGTGATTCTTGTGTATTTAAAAGGAAACAGCAGGAAAGATATCTTCAGTTGGAGCCTGGTGCTTTGTGAATTTATCTTAGACAGATTACAATCATTGATACTGCATACGTACCATCAAAATGTAATTGTCAATCCAAATCCACGCATTTCCAGGGCTTATGTATCCAAGCCAAGGTTCACGGTAAACATACTCAGTAGCGGTGATGGCAATACTTGTGACCGCAGGATTCAAAACAGCAAAAGGCAGGCTAATGTACTGTATGGAAAATTAAAGCAAGAAATCTTAATCCACTTACAAAATGGATTCTCTACATCCAGATGTTTGAAAGTTAACTGTGGATCATTTTAAACAACATTTATTAAACTCACCAATCCTACAAAAATACAGAACAGTTGAGCCATGTCTGTGTATGCGACTGAGTACAAACCGCCAATCAGAGTGTAACAAACTGCTATCACAGTAGAAATAATAATGGCCACGTGGACGTTGATTTCAAAAATCACACTCAATGATGAACCTGAAGGAGGAAATGTCATTAGTTATGAATTTGGATGTAATAACTGGAACGACAATATCAATTTGTAGCTGTCAAATGATAAAGATTTTAAAGAAATTACTTCTCATGCAAGCAAAAATGTCAACAGATACATATGTTTTCAGACAGCACAAATTTGTTAAGTCACAATGAAGGAAAAGCCAAAGGACATGTCTAGCAATACAGAACTCTCACTGATCACATGATTGTCCATTACCCCAATCTTCTCTCATGGTCTTGCAAGTCCCTCACTTTCTTTATCGCCACTTAGCTAGAAGACTGAAATAACTGCACAGGGGCTGGTTCTCATCACCAAGTCACCCTTTATTTACACGCGCACAGTACACTGGTTGTGGCCAACCAGCTCGGAGTCAGTCCTCAACTGAGGAGATTCTATTCTCCCGGTTATATTGGTTAGCCAAGGCTTTCCTGATTGTCCCAGGTTAACAACCACAATCAAGGACTTCGTAGGTAATTAGTTCAACCTGGTCCCAATCACGACAAAGACCAAAAGTGCAGTTTTTCCCTCCTTGGAGGTGATGAGGAAGGGAAATAATGGAATGACTTGGCCCTGAAGAGAACGTCATGCTTTTCTCATTACTTCAGCATTAAGTGTCTGGTGAGAATATTTACAGGTAATTTTTTCAACACATTGACAAGTAAGATCCTTAAGTGGTCAACCTGCCACCTCTCTGTTCACCTAACTCCCTGGCCGGTAAGAAAGTTATGCAATTGGTAAACCATGATGAGCTGCCTGCCCCTTTTTTGTTTGGCAGGGGGTATCTCCAATTTCAGAGCTGGCAAGAAAGGGAGTGGCCTCTGAAAGCTTACCCTTACCTCAGAGTAACCTCTCCCTGTAACCTGCAAGAGGAAAAAGGAGAGAAAAAGAACTTATCTTCTCACTGCTAAATCCACTGATGAGTAGGCCTCAAATGTAGGGACCAGAGGCTGCCATCTCTGAGTGGCTGGCAGTTAGTGACCCAGTTTGCCACCGTCATAGATCATAGAATCCCTACAATGTGGAAATAGGCCATTCAGCCCATTGAGTCTTCACTGACCCTCCAAAGAGCATCCCACCCAAACCTATCCCCCTACCCTATCCCCGTAACCCTACATTTCCCATGGCTAACCCATCTACAGGACAATTTAGTGCCGCCAATCCACCTACCCTGCACATCTTTGGACTGTACGAGGAAACCAGGGCACCTGGAAGAAACCCGCACAAACACGGGCAGAATGTACAACTCCACACAGACAGTCACCCAAGGCTGGATTTGAACCCGGGTCCCTAGTGCTGTGAGGCAGCAATGCTAACCACTGAGCCACCATGCCACCCTGTTGGGAACTGATAGGGTAAAATAATTGCCCTTGCTCACCGTATGGGTTATAAGGAACTGTTTGGTGAGTTATCTTGCCAGTGGGGCTGGCGTGTTAGTCACCACCACTCACCTCAACACTGAGAAAAAATATGGGCAAATCCTACCCAACCTTAGTTCAGTGGTGAGCACCGAAAGGTATGCCATGAATAGTTTAGAGTTAAAGTTAGATTGATCTATAGTGGGTGTTCAACTCAACCAATTTACTGCAAAGGTCTAAAACTACCCAATAAGTCAACACCCGGGGTGGGATTATCCCATTTTCAATTACAGTATTTTATCCAGTGAGATTCATGGTGCCTTGTCTGCCTGTCTCTGAATGATTTTACTCACACAACTTTCCATTCTTCACCACATTACTTACACGTCTGGGCTCTTCCGTGCCCTTCCCATTGAATGATGTAGCAAGATATGCTCATGACTGCCTGAGTCTTCTGGAGTTTCCTCTGCTGGAGCTATGCTTAAATTCTAACTGCACACCACTTCAGATGCTGCAAGTCAGGAACTGCTCCTTACACTGTGGTGCTCAACGGTATGGCGCAGAAAGGGAAGTTCACTCCCTGTTTTACGTGGAGCCGCGGCTGGATGGAATGCTGGAGAAGAAGGCCATCTGTTTTCCAAATGACTGCCCTGGGAGGTCACACCACCAGACACAGTCAGCCCGCACTGAGAAGGCAGAGCGTGTGAGTAGAATATACTTGTGATCTAAAGGACATAGCTGTTAGACTGGGTCTGTTGAAAGTATTAAGGGAAACAGTATTCTTGAACACATCCACACCAACCAGCCCGCCACAGATGCATTTATCTGTGACAGTATCAGTATCAGATCACTGCACAATCCTCGTGGAGACCATGTCCCATCTTCAACGTGGAATCATCTATCGCATTGTGTGGCACTATTACAGTGTTGAATGGGATAGACATCAAGCAGCTCCAGAACCTCCAGGCTGAACATCCAAGAGGTGGCATGGATCATCAGCAGCAAAATTGTACTCAAACTCTATCTGTAACCCTGTGGCCTGGCATATCATGCACTCTACCACTACCACCAAGCCAGGGGATCAAATCTGGCTCAAAGAATAGTGTAGGAGGGCATGTCAGTAGCAGCACCAGATATACTTAAAAATGAAGTATCAACCTGAGGAAGCTACCAAGCAGGACCACTCGTGTGTCATACAGGAAAACCCACAAGTCACAGACAGAGCTAAGCGATTCCACAGCCAACAGGTTAACTCTAAGCTCTTCAGCCCCGTTATGTTCAGTAACAAATGGTGGCGGACAATTAAAAGATTGTTGGAGGAGGATCCACAAATAATCCTTTCCTTCCCAGTATTTACTGGGTCATAATCCTGAAATTCCCTTCCTTAACTCTTTGTGGGTGTACCTATATCAAATGGGCTGCAAATGTTCAAGGAAGCAGCTCACCACCACATTCCCAAGGGCAACTAGGGATGGCAAATACATGCTGGCCAGCCAATCATGCTTACAACCCACAAATGAGTAAGAAGAAACTCTGCCACTAGGCAGTCATCTCATCAAGGCTCATGGGCTACAACTCTCACTGTTGTATGAATTCTCCCGACTGAATGGCTCTCAGCTACCTCAATCTTCCAAACTACTAGCTCTTTGTGTCCTTGATCATTCCTAGTCACTCACTGGTGACATATCAGCAACTGCTCTTACATCTACTTCCATTATACTCAATCCCTCCCTTTGTCTCAATGCAGGAAAAAAAATCCATAGCGGTCCAAATGAGCCAAAGCAGTGGAAGAAGGTGATGGACTTCTCACTCCCTACAATAATAAAATTTTAGATTTATCCAGAGAAGACCACGGCCACTCATATGGGAACAGAGTGACCTCAAAGACCGACCAATCCAATTAGCAGTAAATTTCAGTAGATGCTGGAATCTGTTCTGAAAACAAAAAATGCTGGAAATCACAATGGGCCAGGCAGCATCAGTGGACAGAGAGCGAGTGGAGACATTTCGAGTCTAGATGACTCTTCATCAGAGCTCTTCAACCAATCCAAGAAGTTTCCTTATGCTGTTAGCTCTTCATTTATCCCCCATGCTAACACATTCTTAATCTGCACCAACCTCTCCAAGCTGTCGCTTGCAGAATTTCCATGGCAACCGGGGTCAGAAGTGGGCTTGCCTTTCAGCCTGGGTTTCCCTCCTCTCCCTGTATGGTAGGTTTTTGGGGAAGAAGGACCAAAGGACTGAGAGGGTGTGCATGTGTGTCTGGCTCACTTCCAGTTTTTGGGGGTTGGTCATCATGTAATATATGTTATGTGACTACTTCGCCACCTTCTTACCCACCCCAAGATTAAGTCTATAGTACAGAGGGTGGGCAGGCACCCAAGTTTGCTGCCCACACACCATGTAATTAAACAATTAAGGGTCTAACTTAAAAATTCACTTAGCTGTAAGAGCTCTGAGAGTGACAACCGTTGATATCAAGACTGCATTCGACCAAGTGTGGCTTCAAGAAGCCCAGCAAAACTGGAGTCAATGGGTGTCACGGGGCAAACTCTATGGTGGTTGGAGTCATATCTGACACATAGAAAGATGGTTGTGGTTGTTGGACGTCAATCATCTAGGCTCCAGGACATCTCTGCAGGAGCTCCTCAGGGTAGTGTCCTTGGCCCCACCATCTTCAGCTGCTTCATCAATGACCTTCCCTCCATCATAAAGTCAGAAGTGGGGATGTTTGCCGATGATTGCACAATGGTCAGCACCATTCGTGATTCCTCAGATACTGAATCAGCCCATGTTCACATGCAACAAGATCTGGACAATATTCAGTTTTGGGCTGACAAGTGGCAAGTGACATTCACGCCACATAAATGCCAGTCTATGACCATCACCAATAAGAGACAATTTATCTACCTCCCCTTGACATTCAATGGTGTTACCATCACTGAATCACTGGTCAAGATCCTGGGGGTTATCATTGACCATAAACTCAACTGGACTCACCACATTAACACAGTGGCTACAAGATCAGGCCAGAAGCTAGGAATACTGTGGCAAGTAACTCACCTCCTGACTCCTCAAAGCCTGTCCACTATCTACAAGGCACAAGTCAGGAGTGTGATGGGATACTCCCCAATTGCCTGGATGAGTGCTGCCCCAACAACACTCAAGAAACTTGACACCATCCATGACAAAGCAGCCTGCTTGAGTGGCATTACATTCACAAGCATTCAGTCTCTCTACCACCGAAGCTCAGTAGCAGCGGTGTGTACTATCTACAAGATGCACTGCAGAAATTCACCAAAGATCCTCAGACAACACCTTCCAAACCCACGACCACTTCCATCTAGAAGGACAAGGCCAGCAAACATATGGGAACACCACCACCTCCAATTTCCCCTCCAAGCCACTCACCATCCTGGCTTGGAAATATATTGCCGTCCCTTCACTGTCGCTGCGTCAAAATCCTGGAATTCCCTCCCTAATGGCATTGTGAACTGCAGTGATTCAAAAAGGCAGCTCACCATCACCTTCTCAAGGGTGACTAGGGATGGGCAAAAAATTCTGGCCAACCAGCAACATCTACATCCCACAAATGTGTAGAAAAACTATTACACTACCCATGTCAT